TAAAAAAGTACTGAAGCTCATATAGTAGCCTTTCTAAAATAATATAGTCTTAATAATCAAACAATTTGAAAAACATTGATCTGCAGTCTGCAAAACCATAGGACAGAGGTTGCCAACCAAATTGGGCCCTAAAATTACTAAATAAAAAGTTTTTGAGAGTTTATGTTTTGTAAAAAAAGTTCTTGCCATTTTTTGTTTTGTAAACAAACGTCTTTCCATTTTGAGATATGAAACATAAAATTGACTTTTGCAGCCTGCAGAGGACAAGTTATCCTATTTGTTTTTTAAAGCAAGTTCTTGCTAATTTTTGTTTTGTAAAGAAAGTTCTTGCCATTTTGAGATTTGTAAAGAAAGTTCTTGCCATTTTTTGTTTCGTAAAGAAAGTTCTTGCTGTTTTTTGTTTTGTAAAGAAAGTTCTTGCCATTTTTTGTTCTGTAAAGAAAGTTCTTGCCACTTTTTATATTGTAAAGAAAGTTCCTGCCATTTTTTGTTTTGTAAAGAAAGTTCTTGCTAATTTTTGTAGTGTTACAGTAAACAACTTCAAACAAAATCAAACAAATTTGACACCCGATCTTCCCTTAGGTCAAAATTACCTTTGCAGCACTGAACATACTTAACCTGACAAAATTTCACGATAACTAATGACCAAATTCTATAATAATATCACCGTTTCTACTACTACTTTCAAAAACAATATCAAGAAATTTCCCCACCCAAAAAATCCCCAAATGGAAAAACACACGGTAAATCTTCAAAAACACTGTATGCCCACTATCAACAAGAACAACATGGTATTGACGTTGAAGAACATGATTGGGGAACGTTGTGAATGAAACAACATTCAACGAGAAGAGAGACAATGTGATGAGCAGAGAAAGAGAGAAAAAAGAGGCTAATCCGCGTGCCATCCGCCGTCGTTTTTTTTCTTGCACAGGTCGTCGCTCCTGGAACGATGATCGGTCGCGCCCGAGTAATTGTTTGAATTAAAAAGGGAGATGAACAGTAGATGTAAAGGTAAATGGACAGCATAGTAGATATGAACTACCTTATTCTACCCTGTCTCCTTTTTGCTATGCCGTGGCTTGGCTTGTATTGGCTTGGCCTAGATTGGCCTGGTTTGGTTTAGCTGGGCTTAGGTTGGCTTGGCTTGGCTGGAGTTGGCTCGACTTGGCTTGGCTTGACTTAGCTTGGCTTAACTTGGCTTGGTTCGGCTTAGCATTGCCTGACTTGACTTGGCTTATCTTAGCTTTGTTTGGCTTGGCTTGCCTTGGCGTAGCTTAGCTCGGCTTGACCTGACCATAGCCCTAGCCCCAGAGCCCTAGCCAATCCTAGCCCAGCTAAGCCCAGCCCAGCCCAGCCAAGCTCAACACAACCCTAGCCTAGCCCAACCCTGCCCTGCCTAGTCCAGCCCCGCTCAGCCCAGAGCCCTAGCCCCAGAGCCCAGCCCCAGAGCCCGAGCCATACAGCCCTAGCCCCAGAGCCCTAGCCCCAAAGCCCTAGCCCCAGAGCCCTAGCCCCAAAGTCCTAGCCCCAAAGCCCTAGCCAATCTCCAGCTCAGCCTAGTCCAGCTCAACCCTACAAAAATTGAAAGGACTTTCTTTCCAAATCATCAAATCGCAAGAACTTTCTTTACAAACCCCCCAAACGGAAAAAAACTTTACATTGTTGAAAAGACTAGGATAAGCCCGGAGGGGGTAATTCCCTTTAAAATCGCATTAAATCTCTCATTTTTCAAGGGCGCGTAATGCGCGACGTCGCCTGAGGGCTGTAAAAAATCACTGCTATGCCGATTTACTACTTTTTAAAACTTTTTTGTTGTTTGCTGTTTGGAAATAAAGTTTTTGCCGTAAATAATGAAAAAAATATTTTTGCAAAAACTTTCTTTACAGAACAAAAAATGGCAAGAACTTTCTTTACAAAACAAAAAATGGAAAGAACTTTCTTTCCAGAGCGCAAAATGTTATTTATCGTATAACATATCACCCGCAGCCTGCAAAACCGTAAATTTTAATTTTATGAACGACGGTTAGCAAGAACTTTTTTTACAGAACAAAAAAATGGCAAGAACTTTCTTTTCTTTAAAAATCAAAAAATGCTATTCATCGTTTAACATAAATTTCACAATTTCGACTCGGGAATAGCAAGAACTTTCTTTACAAAACAAAAAACGGCAAGAACTTTCTTTACAGAACAAAAAATGGCAAGAACTTTCTTTACAGAACAAAAAATTGCAAGAACTTTGTTTACAAACAAATCCCAATTTGGCGTTTCAAACCGTTCGTTTGACGTAATGCCAATTTGAATCGACTTAAAAGGCTCCCGTTTTTATAAATAGCCTTAAACGATTGGAAAAAGTGTCGAAATGTGGCTTTTACAGTTTCTCCGCAAACCAAAGTGTCATTAACGTAGGAATGGGGGAGATCAGCCGATTAGAGCCGCTTTACACTGAGTCAGCAAACACAAAGGAATCCTACGGTAGAACATCAATAATATTACATTTTTGCGTAGAGTACGTGCCGTAAAGTCAGGTGTTAAAAGGACATATGAGAGGGTTGGTACGGTAACGATCTACCCTACCCTACTCTACCCTACCCTACTCTACCCTACCCTACCCTACCCTACTCTACCCTACCCTACCCTACCCTACCCTACCCTACCCTACCCTACCCTACCCTACCCTACCCTACCCTACCCTACCCTACCCTACCCTACCCTACACTACCCTACTCTACCCTACCCTACCCTACCCTACCCTACCCTACCCTACCCTACCTTACCCTACTTTACTCTATCAAACTCAGCCTAGCCCAGACAAGACAAAAAGACCAGCCCAGCCAAACGAAAGCCAGCCAAGGCCAGCCTTGTTCTGCCCTGTCTTACTCTGTCTTTCAAGACACGACCCAGCTCCCCTATCTCAGCCCAGCCCAGCTTAGCCCAGTACAGCCCAGCCTAGCTCAGCCCTAACCATCCGAGTCCAGCCCAGCCTGATCTGCCCTACCCTGACTCTGTCACTTCCATAAATCTGTTTTTCCCCTGCCCAAACCCTACTATAGCCTTATCCAAGCCCACGCCTAGCACAATTTTTCTTATAATTTTACTGTAAGCCTACCCTACAATTAATTTTAAAAAAATGAAAAAAATATTTATTATTGTACATGAATGGCCATAAACTGAGGACTTAAAAACATGAAAATCTGGGCTTAAAACAATGCCTGTCGACGATACAAGTGTACATGTACATATACTTTGGACGTTCATAAGAATTGGACGTATTTTTGTAGTTTAGTAAACTTTCAGCGGAAAAATGGCAAGAACTTTCTTTACAAAGCAAAAAATGGCAAGAACTTTGTTTACAAAACATAAAATGACAAGAACTTTCTTAACAAAACTAAGAATAACAAAAACTTTCTTTACAAGCATATAAATGGCAAGAACTTTCTTTACAGGTCGAAAAAATAGCAAGAACTTTCTTTACAAGCCAAAAAATAGCAAAAAACTATTAAAAAACAAATAAAAACATGCAACAAGATCAACGTTAAATTACCATATCATTTCACAGCGTGAGTTCCTGTAAATCGTACGTTTCGATCAATTTCAAGCCCCATAAAACAACGAAAAAGCCTTTAGGATCTAGGTCGCCAAATCCTAAAAAAGCCTTTTTCGTAGTGAAAAAACAAAAAAAGTAAAGTTTAAAGGTGGATTCTCGACTGTGGATTTATAAAGCATGTTAAGAATGGCAAGAACTTTCTTTACAAAATATAAAATGGCAGAAACTTTCTTTACAAAGCATAAAATGGCAAGTACTTTCTTTACAGAACAAGAAATGGCAAAAACTTTCTTTACAAAACAAAAAATGACAAGAACTTTCTTTACAAGACATAAAATGGCAAAAACTTTCATTCTAAAAAATAAAATAGCAAGAACTTTTTTTACAAAACATCAAATTACTAAATATCGTGTAACATGTTCCCCGCAGCCTGCAGAGCCTTAAATTCTAATTTTATGGCAAAGAAATTGAGCAAACTTTTACAAAACGTAATATGACAAAAACTTCCTTTACAAAATTTATCTTTAAAGGCAAACTTATGATTTGGAACAATAATTACAGCGAGAGTAAAGTGAAAGGATAAAATAAACAAAAAGGAATGACCTCCGACCACTACTTCTGTAATATTTGCTCGATCATCAAGTGAAAAGGGTCCCTTAAGGGTCCATAACACGGAAGTCTTTAAGAATGGTGTCAATTGCAACAAAATTTAATTTAAATTTTTGAAATTGGTCAATTAGGACAAAGTTCAGTACACTTATGTTAGGCTTTAGCTTAAGCTTTGGCGTAGGCTTAAGATTGGGCTTGAACTTTTAGGCTTAGACTTAATCTTCTAGGCTTATGCTTTAAGGTTTGGGCGTCTAGTTTTAGATTTCTAGGCTTAGGCTTAGGCTTCTAGGCTTAAGCTTATAGGCTTAGGCTTTTGGGCTTAGGCTCATCAGCTTAAGCTGATAGGTTTAGGCTTAGGCCTTGGCTTAGGCTTTAAGACTTAGGTTTGGGCTTCTAGTCCTCGGCTTCTAGGCTTAGACTTCTAGGCTTAGGGTTAGGCTTAACTTTAGGCTTTAGCAAAAGTTTTAGCTTATGCTTGGGCTAAGATTTAAGCATAGGCTACTGGTTAAGATGGTTACATCTTCCTGTTCTAAAAAGGAACAGTTGGCATATTGAGAGCGAAACATGTCGCATCGCTTTTCTTTTTCGTCGAAAAATTATATTTTTGTTGGTTCGTGGTCAATTATACCTTTATATGGACGTACCATTCGATGTTCTATTGTTTATGAAATGTATTTTACATTAAATAATTTTATCTTTAATAACTTTTTACATTTTTCACTTTTAGGCTTGTAAAATTCGTTAAAGTTTAAAGTTACGTTATAAATTATATTGTAAACCTTATTTCCAGGACATTGGGCACGATTCCTAACACCATATCTTTGTAAAAACCTGTGATAGCACAATGTCTAGCACGAACTCACCTCACGTCTTCTCTCTACATCAAGTAGGAGAGAAACGACCGTTTCGGAAGCACAAAATGCCTCCAGACGTATATCCACAAGATCCGAAGCAAGAAGAAGACAGTATGAGCACGGAACGATTGAGACGAGGATTTATGTGCCAAGTACCAAGTTGTGAATGGGAGAATTATACGACAAAGGTATGTTTTTGTATCTTTTTTGTGTTTTTCCAAGTTTAGGACAAAAGACTGAACGTTGATGTTTAGAACAGTCGAAACATGGACGATGCGTTGGCTAGAGCTTCGAAATTGATCAAAAATGTCATTCAACAGAAGGATGAACATAATAAGTTTCAATTGGATAAGAAAAAACAGAAAGATTACACGTTTTTGATGCTGAATAACACTAATGTAAGTTCTAGAGGTGGACTCCCTCTAGAGCTAGGTTAAGATGCTTTTGTTAATTAAGCGAAAATAAGTTGATTTAGGACTTAAAGGTTTATGATTTTAGTTAAAGACGTTAATTCTACAGCTTTTAAGTTTATATTCAGTGGCTTTTGACTTAAAGAAATATAATTTATAGCTTATACTGTTTTAGGTATTAAGCGTGTAACATAAACTTGACTTTTTTGAAAGCAGTGTAGTTTTATATTCTGGAACTTTGAAAAATAGTTAATTATGATAATTTAGCTATTTTTTAATTTGGTTACTTATAGCTACTAACGCATCAATTTAGATTAATATTGTGTTAGACACTACTTGTATAAAAAAACTAATTTCAGGTCCCAAAAGAAAAGACAAATTGGTATGATGAGTTAGCTAAAGGACGATCATTAGCTGCTTTAGCTAAAAAGTTACCTAATATAAAGAAGGATGGTTTGGAAATATTGTTTCAATCGAAAGTACCAATCCCGAGAGCTATCTGGTGCTTGAAGATGAATCAAATCGGATTGATGATTCAGCAAGCTCAACCAAATCGAGGAAAGAAACAGTTGGATCAGATCAAAACTGTAGCATCTTTCTTCAAGGCTCAACTGAAGAAGTTGGACAGTGTTCAAGTGAGTTCGATATTGTAGTAGGGGTTTGGTGGATGAATATGGTTTTTCAGAGAAATTTTTATGTTTTAAAGTTGGTTTTGAGTTGTAAAAGCTTGTGAGGGTGTTGATGAAAATATTTTAGATAATTTTTAGCTTTTCTTCATTCATTTTTACCTAATTTTAGCTCTCCCAGCTCGACTGTACTCAAATTTATCAACGCTGGCCCTATTACAATATGTTGTTCAAGAACTGTTTCGAAGAAGGTGTTTTGGATCGTCAGGAGTTCCTGTTCGAGCTTTGTGATCTCCAAACAGAATATATGAATTTCGCTTTGGACCGATCTCATGTTTTTCGACTTTTGATCAATTTTACCTCGAATTTTATTGATTATGTTACTCAAAATGTATTTATATCGCGAAGACTTGGCTATATTTGTGCGTATCGACTGGAGAAGTATATTACAGAGCATGAGAAGAAGTTTGGGTAAGGTTTTTAGTTTATTTTTGTTGTTTTAGGGGTTGTTTTTGGAAGGAAATCAAGATGAGGTCATGGATAATATAATTTTTGATTGAAAACTGATGTTTTTGGACTAAACTTGATGTATTAGACTATGACAAAGATGGTTATCAGAGCGACAAGAATTTTTTAATACCTAAAAAGCTGTTTTCAAGCCTAGAAATTAAGATTTGAATCTCAAAATCTTTGTTTTTCAGTACAATATCCGACTACACCGAAGTTATAAATGATTTCGATGCCTGTTCAGCTCATAGAAATATTATTCTGATTCTAAGTGGCATTCTAAGAGCCCTGATAATTGATTGTCCAGCAGCTTTTGTGTGGAACCCAACTGATGTCAAGTCAGGCTCTCCAGAGCAACTAGCTGGCTCACCTTTGGACAGATTCCCAAGGATCGAACCTTTCCTGGTTGATAACTATTTTCCACCGATCACGAGAGCTAAGGACATTTTAAAACGCAGACTTCATGAAATTCGAAGCCGAAGCCAGAATGTGGAGAACAAATGGGCCAGAGAGAGTGGGAGCCAAAAAGGATTTTGTAGGTTAATATATTGGGTATAGTTAGTGTTTGAGCTAATATATAGAGAGTTAAAAGTGATTTCAAAGAAGAAATAGCATGTTGGTCACGTATTGGGTTCATATAGACATTTTGAATTAGTTTTGACTATTTTCGGGAAATTTCAGGTTTTCGTGGTGGGACCAAAAACAGTTTTCTATTTTCTTATTTTAAAGCAATTATAAGGTCTTTAGTTTAAAAACGTGTTTTTAAGTTTAAAATACGGATTATTTATAAAATTGGAATCTTTTTCAACTTTCTTTCAGGCCGAATAGTCAACTTGTGCATAAATGTTGTGGCAGCACTGGATTCCTTCGATGTTACCACGCCAAATGCCTACAAGAATCTCTATCGTTCAGTGTTCAATGAAGGCTTTAGTGGGTCTCTGGATTCTGATGTAAGTTTGAAAGGATTGGTCTTTACTTTTATTCATTTCAGCACCAAACAGACATGGTATTCCGGGTCAAGTCGTGTCTACAATGGGCAATAACCAACGAACGAGAAGGCTCACACCGTGCCTTAGTCGTAGCCAAACTGTTTTCTCTTCGAGAATCCGTATGTGAAGTCAAAAACATTTCATCGTTTGCTGGTTTCAAACTACAAGACCTTTTGATTGACTATATCAACCATGAGATGCCGAAAACCGACCATGAGAACTTTAGAAAGGAGTACGGTAACTTGATCCAGGTCTTCTTCGAACTTCAACGAATGGGCCTGTTTGATCATGATGCGTATGTTAGAAGTAGGTCTTATGATTTATTTCCGGTATAGAATGATCGGTTTTAATAATTTTTACATTTTTTTTGAAACTTGCTAAAATTTTTTTATCGACCGGTCGAAAAAAATTTTGTTACTTAAAAAATTTTTTTTGAAACAAGTGTTATTTTTGAGGTTTTAATAACTTTTGGAAACATTTTTTGGGGTTTAATAAAAGGTTAAATTATCGACCGGTCGAAAAAATTTTTTTGGAAAAATTGAAATTTTTGAAAATTTATGACATTTTTATGTACCCTAAATGAGAAAATCAAATTTTTATAATCTTAAAACTTTATTTTCATAGGTTTGTTACGATGCGGACACCTAACAACCCCAATCATGGTGAAGATTGCCGAACTGAACCCAAACTCATTTTCACCAACAAAATCCATTGATGAATCGGAACGCCAAGACACTTCAACACCAGTTAAACCTGACCTGAGCAGTGGAGTCATTTCCTTCATCCCACCTGTCGATAACTCACCAATGCCTGTGCTACAGAAGCCAAAGTGTGATAGGTAGGAGAGGGGTGATAAGCTTTGCTGGAGCGTTGGTTTTGAGTGTTTTTGGATTTTTTGATGTTTGGATAGGGTAATTAGGGGTCTAGGGGTTGTTTTGAGGGATTTTGGGGGCAAAAGTGAAAAAAAATTTTTAGGTAACAAATTTTTTTTTGAAATTTTTTTTAATTTTGTGGTTGAAAAAGATAAAATATGTCATTTTATAGGTTATAGGAGGTATGAAATTGAGAAAGGTTACAAAAATGTGTTTTTTCGAAAAAAAAATTTTAGGTAACAAAATATATTTTTTTGAAAATTTTTGAAAAAATAAGAAAGACTAGGTCGAAAAATGCCATTTCTAATGTTATGTAGGTCTACAATTTGTTTTTTTCGTATTATTAAAGTGTTTTTTAAAAAAATTTTTAGGTAACATTTTTTTGAACTTTTAAAATTTGGCTAATACCTTAGGCAAAAAGAATTTATTGAGTTATAATTGACTAAAAATGTCCTATTTTAAATGCCTAATTTAGCCCATGGAAGAACCGCCAAGCCTCGGACGACTCGATGGACGTTGATGACAAGAAAGAAGAAATGGCATGGCTCTTACCCGAAGCAGCGCTAAGTTCAGATGAACACATCTTCTTGGACAATCCACCAGGGCTGACAGTTCATGAACGATTTTTGCTACAGCTACCGGTTGAGCAGGTGGGTTTTTATTTTTAAAATTTTGGAATTTAAAAAATTTTTTTATCGGCCGGTCGGAAAAAATTTTGTTACCTAAAAAATTTTTTTGGTTGAAGTGTCATTTTAGGGATTTTAGTAACTTTAGGCAACGTTTATTGCATTTTATGAACGGTTATTTTATCGACCAGTCGAAAAAAAATTTATGCAAGAACTTTCTTTACAAAATTTAAATTTGAAAAATTTGAACTTTTGCCAAAAATTGCAAGAACTTTCTTTACAACACATATTTTTAGCTAGAGGAAAACAGAGAATCTCGAAATCAACGCCTCTCTTTCATCTATGGCACGTCAACTGAATGGGACTCGGCCAAAGCCCAGTTGAACCAAATCGCGGCCGAAATTTCGAAAATTTGGCAGAAAAAGAACTGTTTCCAATTCAAAGCCGGTTCCACCGAGTTCGGCCTCAAAATCCGAACGAAAAGCGATGAATGCGCAGAGTTTAGACAGCTAACCTACAATGATCAAGTTGTTGTAGTAGGCAAATGCGTGGACAGCTTCATGGCCGCGATCTACGAATTTTTGGACCGCAAAACAATCCACATTCCGACCGCCGAAGGCCTGGACGTGATCTGCATGATGATGGAAGAGTGTAAATACTACGCTGGGATAGTGGAATTGGCAACAGAAGTAAGGAATCATGGTTTATATTTTTGCACGGTGCACTCAGGTTTTTAAATTTGGTTGTAGTTTTAAAATGACTTTTTAGAATTGTGAAAAAGGGGTTAGAGTGGATTTTATGGACTTTTTGAAGTGTGTTGTACAATTTCTAAGATTATTTTTTGGCTAGTATTACTGTAACTTAATTTTGGAGTGTGGGGACTGCACGGTGCAAGGAATTTACAAAATGAAGCAAAGGAGGGGAAAAACTAGCTAAATTTAATTTTATAGCTAATTTTAAGAATAATTTACGGTTTTTAAAATTTTACGTTAGCTAGGATTACTGTAATTTAAAATTTTGTTTTCGGGCTGCACGGTGCAGAATTTTGAAGCTTAATGACATTTTTGATAACTATATTTGATTTTTAGCTAATTTCAACCCTAAAAGACATTGAAGAATACATAGACAGCTTCGAATCCGACTACATGCCTGGCTTCATTGCATCACAAATGGCATACGTGATATGCTCCTACTTGGCAGCACATTCTGACTACTTCTTCTGTTCAAAAGAGGCTCCAGAGATTGTGGCTAGGTAGGGATTGGATGTAAAATACGTGTTTTTCATATTCAATGATTTTAGTGTTATTGTTTGTTTTAAAAATTTATGTTGTAGTAGGTATCGAACATTGCTTTTGATGAAAAAATGCCAATTATTGTCATTTTTTTGGACAGAACTTTGAGTTTAGACTGATTGTGAAGGAAAAACACGTTCTAAAAAACAAGCGTAGTACAACAATACCGATGGTTATGTTTTAGTTTGCTAGAAACCTTTGATCAAGCCATCCGCGGCCAAGGCTACCCTCAAACCGGCTGGTCTCGAGCAGTAATTCAATTTATCTGGAACACAAGGACACTACTCATAGATGCTAAGCTAGCCACACCAGACCAGCTACCAGCCAGAAAGCAGGATTTCAGAAGGAATTTCCACGAAGATCTACCAAGAACCTCACCAGAGACATTAAAGTACAACCCAGAGCTATGCATGGACATGCTAGAGGGAGTTAAACGCGTTTTTGACTACGAATTGTACAAATTACATCTACCCAGCATTGAGGATGATCACAGTAGATATAGCTTCGTATGTAATGTGTTCAAAAAGGCATTGGAACTGAAAAATGACACGGAAAAGTGAGTTTTTGGGGAAAAATGAGGGGTTTGTATTAGATTTTTGAAGTTTTTGTGCCATTTTTAATGTGATAAAGGTGGATATTTTGTATCAAAAGATGTAGAATTGAATGGAGAACCTAAATGATCCAATGAAAGTTCATTTTTGGGTTTTTAAAATGACGTTTTTGGGATGAAAATGAAGATTTTTTGGCCGAAAATCAGGGATTGTTTAGGACTTTTGAAGTTTTTGTGCTATTTTTAATATGATGGAGGATAATAGTTTGTATTAGAAGATGTAGAATTGAATGGAGAACCTAAATGATCCAGTGAAAGTTCATTTTTGGGTTTTTAAAATGACGTTTTTGGGATGAAAATGAAGATTTTTTGGCCGAAAATCAGGGATTGTTTAGGACTTTTGAAGTTTTTGTGCTATTTTTAATATGATGGAGGATAATAGTTTGTATTAGAAGATGTAGAATTGAATGGAGAACCTAAATGATCCAGTGAAAGTTCATTTTTGGGTTTTTAAAATGACGTTTTTGGGATGAAAATGAACGTTTTTTAGCCGGGGGAATAGGGGTTTGGCTTGAATTTTTTGATCTTTTGTGCCATTTTTAATATGGTAGAAACATGTAGTAGGTATCAAAAGATCATGAATTGAATAGAGAAGCCATTGGTTTAAAATTTAATTTTTTGAATTAAAAATGCGGTTTTTGGGGCTTAAAATTGTGTTTTTTGGCTGAAAATAGGAATTTTTGGGGGTATACTTAGGATTTTTCAAATTTTCATGCCATTTTTAATATGACATAGTAACAAATTTATTATCAAAAGATTCCAAACTAAATAACGAATAAATATTTTCAGGTTAACCGAGCTAGCCAACTTCTGTTCCCACGTAGCAGCTCAAAAACATATGGCATCAACCTTCTACAACTGCATCCTCGAAATGTGCTACCCAAATCAGTCGAAGAAGATGTTCCTAAAGGAAATCGGCTTAAACATGGACGATATTGGCAATCACTACTCAATGTCAACCTTTATTTTACTTTTGGCAGCAAGATATTGCTTTAGTGTTCATGTTCTGACGCATATGTTAATATATCAAGTGCTAGTGCCAATCATTCAGGATGATGCGCAAGCTCCAAGAATAAGTATGTGGTGGTTTTTTTCGATTTGAGGGAGTGTATTTTGGGGTGGGGTGGTTGGAGGGTGAAGGGGATGGGGTTTGAAAGGTTTCAATTGATCTTCAGGGTTTTCGTGGTGATACCAGAAATTTTAAAATAATTTTTTTTATTTTTGAGAATAGTATTTTAGGCTTACAAAACACGCATTTTAAGTAAAAATAGTAGGGTAATGCTTTAGATGGCTTTTTGGAAAATTTCCCTGAATTTCAGGGTTTTCGTGGTGGGATCAAAAAATTTTTTCAATTATATTTTTATGTTGAACATAGATTTTTAGGCTTACAAATCATCAATATAAGCAACATACCATTTTATTTTCGATTTCGAATTATTTTCCTGATTTTCAGGGTTTTCGTGATGGGACCAAATATCTCGATAAAACGATTTTTTTTAATTTTGTTGTATGAAGTGATAGAAAATGATTACAAAAGATTAATTTTAACATCTTTCAGTAGCATCCAACGTGAACGGCCTCTGCTTTACCTTGAGGATAGTATCAGGTCTGGTCACCGCATCGGACCGACCATTTCAATTGAAATTCGAAGAGCATCGACCAATTGGCCAAATCCGAGCCCTGAGAATGCTTCAGATCAACGAGCTGGACAAAGTAATTTTCCAACTACTATCAGCAGTGGCACTACTAAATGAAAATGTCAAGAACGACAAGAATAGCCGACCCCAACTGGCGGCCATGGTAAAATGCTCGCTACTATCGATGTGCGAAGAGGAATGGGTAACAAAACGAATGTTTTGGGCATGCGAAACGGACCTGGCAACGGATTCGGATCAAAAACAGAAAAAGGATGAGCTTTTCAGTTGTAAAAAGCTCAAGGATAATAGTGTGGTAAGTCTTTTTCAATTTTCGAGGGCGGGGTAAAAAATTTTTTTCGGTGGGAGGGAGAGGGGCGGATGTGAAAAAAGATTAAAAAATGAATTTTTGTGGGTTGGAAAATGAAAAAGGAACAAATTTTTGAAAAAAAAATTTTTTGGGCGGGGTAAAAATTTTTTTTAGGGTGGGGGTGGATTTTTGAAAAAAAAATCAAAACGTGCATTTTTATGAGTCGGGAAATGAAAAAAATGGGCAAATCTTCGAAAAAAATTTGGGCGTGGTAAAAAAAATTTTTAGGGGGTGGATTTAAAAAAAATTTAGATTTTTAAAGTTTTTTTATTTGCAGGGTCAACACCTCCTCCGCCTAGCCCTCCGCCGACGTGCCGAACGAAAAGTGAAGCAAGAACTGATAGTATGCAAATCCAATTCTCGAAAGTCATTACTCGAAAAACTGTTCACCACCATAAATCTCTGGAACTTCCACGCCACACTCTACGACCTACGCCAGCTAATCAAGGAGTCCAACCCCAACCCCCAGTCCAAACACGCCTATCAAGCCGCCGTGCACGCCGACGTACTCAGCTCGGAAATAGCACGATGCTGTGGCGAGTTGTTCGGCAAAGTCCAAAACGACCGGTCGCTTCTAGAAGCACCCCCTCTTCATGAATTCAAGCTAGCCGACCTGAACTGCTATTGGCTGCTAGGCCCGCTGATCAAGGACTGTCCACAGCCCGAGAACATGCCAGCCAACTTTGTGAACTGTAGCGTGAAGGGCAAGTTCCTGAAGGACACGGCTACGCGACTAGAGAACTCGAAGCGCGATGAGAATCCAAAGAAATTACCCAATTTCCTAAGTCAACCCCCCTTTGTCAACCTGGTGTTGGCATGCCTAGATGGAGAAGAACAACAAGGCGATGGACTAGCCTCGGCCCTGTTGAAACAGCTCCAGGAATTGGTGAATCGAGTGAAGGAAGACACGACTGTACCCCATAGTCATGAGTTCATCAATGAGGAACGAACCGAGCTGTTGTTGAGGTGAGTGGATTATATTCAGCAGGGACGTTTTTACGGATTTTTTAAGGGCGGAGTAGAAAAAGGGATAAAGGGGGGGGTAGGGTAAATAAGGGGAAGAAGGAGGGGGGGGGGGATTATATTTAGAAGAGAGGTCACAGCATTCAGCTGGGCCCTTGCTACGGATTTTTTCTGAGGGTAGGGTGGAAAATGAGGAGGGTTGATTAAGGGGAAGTCTTTACAGATTAGGGGGGGGAGAAAAAAAATTAGGAAAGGGAGGGGATGGACAAAAATTTTTTTTTGGGTTACAGGTAGCTGATACCTGTTTACAAGGTTTGGCTGGGATTGTAAACGCGGTTTCGATAATCGGAGGTTTTCGTTGTGGGACCCAGGGGGAGAAATTAAAAAAAAACGTTTGAAAAAAATTTTTTGGGAATGGTACGAGAAAAAACAAGTACCTACCCCTGCTTCTACCCCTACCTCTACTCTTGCTTTCACCTTTACTCTTACCTACGCATAGCCCTTCCCCTACTCTTACTTTTACAAGCCATAAGCGACTCATACCACTACCTCTTTCGTCACTCTTAGCTCTACTCTTACCCCTTGAACTTGATGTTATGTTGTTTTACTCCTTTTCATCAAACTCATTTCAGACTGAATTTGATCAGTGGAATGTTCGAAACCCTAAAAACCTCATCAGTCGACCAATGGTCCCTGGTCCTATTCCAACTCATGTACTACGGTATCATCTCTCCAGACAAGGACAAAGACCACTTCGATGCCACTTTTGATATGTTGTCAATGCTAATCCACTCAACCCTCCAATCCAGCCAAGACGGCGACCGCTGCCGAAGCCCAATGTACAACACGGTAGTGAAGAAGATCAAAAAAGAGCTCGGCGAACGCCTAATACCAACCGACTTACACTGCCTACAACAACTCCTACCCATACCCAGACGAAAGCTGGCCGACAACGCCGCCTGGGACCTTTTCGGCTATCAACTACCCCAAAAAACCAAAGCACCAGAAGCCAAAAATAGTCGTGTTGCAGTGGCCGAGTTCGCATATTCACCACAAGCCACCCGAATCGACAAGTTCCCTCAAATGGCACAGAAAAGCCTCATCAGCCTACTACAACATACCCATTTCAAGGACTACAAAATGCCCGGCATTTGGGGATGCAAAACAGATCGACAACAAAACGATCTGTTCTTACAGGTAGGAGTATATTTATTTTGGAAATTTGAAAAAAAAATTTATCGACCGGTCGATAATTTTTTTTTGAGAAAATATGTTTTTTGCAATTTTTGTAGGCTTCTGTTAGGTACTGTTTGACATTAAATAGTACAAAAATCGTGTCAAAAAACTTTTAAGATTATCGACCGGTTGATAATTTTTTTAAAAATTTTTTTGCTACTTTTATCCTTATGTGGTACTAGTTTTTGGAAATGGTTAAAAAAATTTTTTCGACCAGTCGATAACCCACTTTTTAAACTTTTAAATTTATTTCAGATCCCAGAAGTTGAACGAGACCCGGACGAACCCGCCCCACCCGCCATGCCACAGCCAATGTTCGCCCAACCCTCAGGCATGCCCAACTCACAATTCCATCAAAACCCACAAATGATGCACATGGGACAGTCCCAACCTCAAATGGGACCATCCTCGTCGATGGGCGGACAAATGGGACCAGGCAGTCAAATTCCAGGACAAGGTGGGCCAATAGGACCATCCGCAGGCATGGGATCGAATAGTGGTATGGGTGGCCAAATGGGCCAAGCTGGTACTATGGGAGGCCAAATGGGCCAGGCTGGTTCTATGGGAGGTCAAATGGGACCAACTGGCGCTATGGGACCAGGAAATCCAATGGGACCAAATGGAGGCATGGGAGGTCAGATGGGCCAAGCTGGCACTATGGCCCCCGGCATGGGACCAGGAAACCAAATGGGACCCTCAAACTCAATGCCAAGTCAAATGGGACCAAATTCTTCAATGCCAGGCCAAATGGGACCATCCGGACCAATGCCCGGCCCCACAAACCCAATGGCCGGCCAAATGCCTCCAGGCGGCCCAATGAACCCGGCCGGCATGGGAATGCCAATGAACATGCCCCAAAACCGAATGGCCATGCCCATGCCCAACCAACCCCCACCTCAAGGAACCCCACCCCCGAACCGAGGCGGACGCGGCCGAAAAACCACCACCCCCACCCAACGCGGCACCAAACGCAAATCCAAGACCAACCTCATGGACCTACAAGACCAACCCCAACACCCAACCACCGCCAACTTCCCCCACGCCCCGCCCACGCACCACGCCCAACAACAAATGATGCAGCAGGGCTTCAGCCAACAACAACAACAACAATGGCACCTACAGCAACAACAAATGCGCATGAGTCAGCAACGAATGCAACAACAACCCCCGCAACACCCGCAACCCCAACAACCACAAATGCCGCCGAACGTGCAGCAGGGCGCGGGCATGCAGAACGAAACCAAACACCAACTACAAGATGCGATCTTGAGAAGGCAGCGGAGTAAGTCGAGGTCAACCGAGCTAGTCATGGCTAGGATCCTGGGGGAAGACACTGATGATCTTTGAGTCTTGGACTAGTCTAGGACTGGATTATTATTTTTGGTTTTTTGGACTAATGTATGGCTAGATTTTGTTTTTTTTGTGACATAGGCTAGGAATGGAAATTATTTTTTTAGGCTAGGGTATGGGGATTTTTGGGTCTTTAGGGGTGGCTTTTTGATCTTTGATTTTTAAGCTGCGATAGATTTGAAATTTGATTTTTGGGTCGGGCTTGGACTGAAAATTTTTTTGGGCTAGGTTAAGGGAGAAAGTGGATTTTTTGGCTAGGGTATGGGTAATTTTTGATTTTTTTTTGGGTACGGCAGGGGTGGACTTTTTGATTACTTGGGCTGGGTTAGGGGTGGGTTTTTTGGGGCAGGCTTGGACTGAAAATGGATTTTTTAGCTTAAAGTAGGGCTAGATTTTGATTTTACCGCCAAAATCCGTAAAATTTTGAAGTTTTCGTGCTGGGACCCAAAAAATTTTTTTTATAAAAATTTTTAGTTTTAAACTAAAAAATATTAACTAGCCACTAATTATTGAACATCCAACTTACTTTTTTTTGTTTATTATCCAAAAGTATGGTTTTTAAGGTTTTCGTGCCAGGACCCAAAATTTTTTAATAGTTTTTTATAGTTAACATGATTTTATAGCATTGTAAATATTATAATTTGGTAATTTTATGTTTAATTATTTATTTATTTTTTACATTATTTATCTGTATTTCATCTTATCTGTCAATAAATGGTCTTATATTACCTAAAATTGGTCTGGTCTTTAAGGCAAGGTTAATGTCATAAAAAGTGACATTTGTCATGGAATATACATCATGATAGTTAATCTATGAAGTGAAAAAACGTTTAGAAAACTTATGTCTATATAAAAAATGTCATTTTATCGCAATACAAAAGCTTATCAATAAGAAAGTGGCATAAAATACTCAAAAAAGTCTATACTATCCATGATTTTTAATGAATTTTGAAGTTAATCAGGCTCCCATAGGACAAAATCAGTGTTAAAACCCACGCCTACACTGTGACAAATCATATCATGTCTATAAACATCATTTACAATACAAAACATACCTAAAATGAATAAAAAAGTCTATATTATCCATGATATTCGCTCTATTTTGAAGTGAATCAAGCCTATTACCGTCTAAAATCAGTGTTAAAACTCATGACTATGCTATGAAAAGTCAAATCATACCTATACACACCCTTTACAATACAAAACATCCGTGAAACCCTCAAAAAAATCTATATTATCCATGATTTTAGACCAACAAATGCAACAAAACCGCCCATAACACTGACATATGGTACCATAATGGTCGACAATAACTTATTTCCAACCACAAATTGTACATACTATATTTAAATAATAGTTTCATAGCTGTTAGAAAGGCTTAGCTAATTAATAAACGATAATATTGATAAGATTCCCCCACCGAAACCTATATTAACATAGGTTTTTGATCGATTTCTCTAAATTTTCAAAAACAATGTGCCATTTTCAACTTTACGAATCTTTATTATGGTGCAAACTATACAAAAATTAAATAATGTTTGTTTAAAATAGATAATCTAATTCCTTTTTCGCTGTTTTCAAAGCTTTTTAATCACGGTGCAATGAATTACTTTGCACAGTGCAGATTTAAAAAAAAAAATTTTAACAGCAGGACAAGATACGATTACTTTTGGACATGATACGTGTACTATGTTGCAAATAATTGCCTTTTAGACATTTTGAGTTATTTTTGAGGTCCAAAAGTTTTTGGATTTTTTGCACTGTGCAATCGAAAAAGATGGACTGCAAAAAAAATAAAATTTTTTTAAAAAAATCAATAATTGGTTTAAAAATGAATCATATTGGGCGGCTTGGATTCAAAAAATTTTTGAATTATTACCCCCTAAATTTTTCTAAAATTTACCCCGCCCAATTTTTTTTTTTGATTCGCCGCGCCCAAGTGTAATCGTAAATCGATCGAAAACAAATACGACAAGAGATTTCAAAACGAAACAATTTTGGCTAAACTGTGACTTATAATACATTAAGGTGGTACCATAACGGTACTAAGGTGATGCATCGTTGATGCTAAAACAAGGTGGTGCACCTATTTGGTGCTAAATGCGATAAAAATACATAAAATTGAGCGAACTGTGAGGATACAATAATATAAGTAGTACTAGCTGAAAATGGTACATTGGTACTACAAGTGGAAGTATGTATGGTACAACTGGTACTATAATAATTGGAGGACGGGTACTATACGCATGTAATATCTGGTACTGTAGCCGTTGTACGACTAGTACTATCTTCAGTACCAGTGCTGGAAACTGGTACTGTTTTCAGTACCAATGGAGGAAACTGGTACTATCTTCAGTACCACTGCTTCAAACTGGTACTAAATGGTACTAGGAGTACGGTATTCAGTACCTGTGTAAATATTATGCTTTGAGTACAATTGGTTGGTATGGTGCCTCGTCCAGAGGTGGTGCTGTCGTACATTTGTTGTCTACCAAAGCTTCTTCGTCTCTTAGTTCACCCTCTTCCATGGTTAATATTCTGAAAATTGAAAAATGATGCAAAAACTTTCTTTACAGAAAATATATTTGACGAAAAATTCAATTTTGTTACCTAAAATATTGCAAAAATGATGTTTTGTTACCTAAAATACTCAAAAAAGACCGGCTTTGTTACCTGAAATATTGAAAAAATGGTTTTTTGTTACCTAAAATGCTAAAAAAGTGGGTTTTTGTTACCTAAAATACTGAAAAAATGAAAATTTATTTCCTAAAATATTGAAAAAATGGCTTTTTCTTACCCAAAAGACTGAGAAAAAGGAAGTTTTGTTACCTAAAATGCTCAAAAAACACTTTTTGTTACCTAAAATCTATAAAAAAAATAAAACTATTATGTTAACCATGATAAAATAACTCACGGGTCTTTCGTATGTCGACCAATCCGATACCTGTAGTAATATCTGTATGCAATGTACATTGACAGCAAGCCTATCACCATTAAAAGTGCAAATAATAGGATCAATGCCACACTGAACTGTTCCGAATCGCTGAACGGATTCAGGAAATCCATTCTGCCTGAAATTTTAAAATTTAAAAAATATTTTTTATTAAATTTAGAATCGCAAAAAGGTTTTTGCAGTCTGCGGGTGACAATTTATACGATAAATGCTAATTCCCATTCTGTAAAGCAAGTTTTTGCCACTTTTTGGTTTTTTAAAGAAAGTTTTTGCACTTTTTGAAAAATAACGTTTGTAAAGAAAGTTGTTGCCATTTTTTGCTTTGTAAAGAAAGTTTTTGCCCCTTTTTGAAACTATTTTCCCGCCAAAAACAATAAGAAAACGTGTTGGAATCGGCCGGAAATAGAATGGTTTCTGGCCGGAGGCCATTTAAATTTATAGCTAATTTGGAGTGAGAACCATTACCTAATCCTTTGCACTTTAATTGAAAAAGGAAGCGTTTCGTTACTTCTTACAGCCAAAATGGCATAATGAGGAAAATGGCAAGAACTTTCTTTACAAAACATAAAATGGCAATAACTTTCTTTACGGAACAAGAAATGGCAAGAACTTTCTTTACAAAAAAATGGCAAGAACTTTATTTAAAGGGCACAAAATGGCAAGAACTTCCTTTACAAATAAAACATAGCAAAAACTTTCTTTACAAAACAAGAAATGGCAACAACTTTCTTTACAGAAAGCCAAAATAACATCCAGCGTATAACCTGTCACCCGCAGTTTGAAGAACATTAAATTTAAGTTTTTAGTTGAGAAATGGCAAGAACTTTCTTTACAAGCAATAAAGTGACAAGAACTCCCTTTACAAAGCAAAAAATGGCAAGAACTTTCTTTACAAATCAAAAAACGGCAAGAACTTTCTTTACAAAGCAAAAAATGGCAAGAACTTTCTTTACATCTTAAAAATTTTCAAGAATATGCCATAACTAATGCATGCATTTTAAGAAGAAAGCTTGGAGATGACTCACTGGGCGCGCATGTTTATGGTCAAATGACTGTTCTTTTTGAATAAAAATGTGTCGAAATGGGATTTCCCACATTTCCTCAATCAAAAAGAAAATGTTTTTGGTATTTTAGGTAACAAATCTTCATGTTCTTGTTATTTTAGGTAACAAAAAGTCATTTTTTGAGTATTTTAGGTAATAAAAAGTCATTTTACTAGTATTTTAGGTAACAGAACAAAGTTTTATGTTTCATATCTTAAAATATCAAAAACTTTCTTTACAAAACAAGAAATGACAAAAACTTTTTTACAGAGCAAAAAATGGCAAGAACTTTCTTTACAATACAAAAAATGGTAAGAACTTTATTTACACAAAATAAAAAGAAAATCCATCGTATAACATGTCACCCGCAGCCTGCACGATCTTAAATTTTAATTACGCAGCTCAGAAAGCAAAACCTTCTTTAAAAAACGAAAAATGGCAAGAACTTTCTTAACAAAACAAAAAATGGCAGGAACTTACTATACAAATCATAAAATGTCAAGAACTTTCTTTACAAAACATAAAATGGCAAGAACATTCTTTAAAAAACCAAAAAAAATTAAATTTGGCCCCTTTAAACCCAGCAGAAACTTTATTTACAACCACAAACCCTCTCTTCCTTCCTCAATTCTTCCCATTCCGACCTTTTTCCTTATTGACAGCCGTCTATTCGTTTTTTATTCGAAGTTTGCGAATTAAAACAGTGCTTTTCGCAATTCCAAACAACAAACAAATTTCGAAACCTTTTTATAAATAAAAACAGCTCTTTAGGGGGGGGGGGGGTGGAAAGTTATTATAAAATGAAGAAGGGGGATGCTTTTTGTTTCTAAGAAAACCAATAGCGGGGGAGGGAGGAAGGGCTGGAAGATTTAATTTAAAAAAGTAGGATAGGATAGGGCAGGGACGTCGTTTGAAGGAAGGGGGGGGTGGTTCAGTGTGACTCCCCCCCCCCAGAGCCGATCCGAAAAAAATCCACAGGTACCTGTACGTAAAAAAACGAAAAAAAAATTTTCGAAAAATCGGTCCACAGCTACCTGTAGACAAAAAAAAATTTTTTTGGGCCCACCCCCCCCGAGAAAAACCGTAGCGACGTCCCTGGGGCAGGGTAAGGGGGCCAAAAAGTAAGGCAGGGCTACGTATAATAAAAAGGGTGCGTGATTTCGCTTCAAAAAAATAGAGTAGGGTAAAAGACTGGAAATAGGACAGCGCAGGGTAAGGGACGCAAAGTAGGGCAGGGCAAGGTAGGAGGCAAGGAGATTTTACTTATAAAAGATCGGATAAGGTAGGGCAAAGCAGGGTAGAGCAGGATAGAAGGGCAGGGCATAACAAGGTCGGTTAGACCAAAGCCATGCAGGAGGAAAGGGCAGGACAGGGCGAGGCAAGGCATGGGCACAGCCAGGGCAACGCCAGAGCAAGGCCAGGGCAAAGCCAGTGCAAGGCCAGGGCAAAGCCAGGGCAAGGCCAGGACAAAGCCAGGACAAGGCCAAGGCAAGGTAAGGCAGGGTAAGACAGAGGGGAAGGAGGAATATCTTACTTATAAGCAAAGACAGATAAGAGAAGCTTTCCCTTTCCAGGCACTTCCTTTCAATTTGTCTCCTCCAAAAAATGGCATATCCGAGGAAACAAAAAAATAAGGAAAAAAGACTAGGAAGAGGGGGGGGGAGTTATATTGAGCCAAGAAGGAGTGGGAAAAGTAAAAAAATAGGTTGTGTTTCTGACTTATAAGGGGGGCAAATTTCATTTTTAAAAGCTGTAAAGAAAGTTTTTGCCATTTTTTGATTTGTAATGAAAGTTCTTGCCATTTTTTGTTATGTACTGAAAGTTCTTGCCATTTTTTGTGTTGTAAAAAAGTTCTTGCCATTTTTTGCCTAAACTCTTCAACCAACCATAATATCGTTTACTAAGCCCAAATTTTACCCAATAAGCCTAAAAATATAATAATTTTACTCTACTCTACCATACCAAGTCCTTCTCTGCCGTGCCCTTTCATGTCCTAAACTGCCTTGCCTTTCCCTGCTCTAATCTACCCTACGCTAACGTCCCCTCCTTTCAAACCATTCCTTCCCCCTCCCTCTCCCCCAAGAAAATTAAAAAAACTAGAAATCCACCCCAAAAATTTCCTACTCTGCTCTATTATACCCTAAAATCCCTTTTTCTAAAACCCGCTCCCAAAAAAATTGAAAAACCCTCAAAATCCACCCCAAAAAATCAAAAGAATTTCCCCCAAAAACCACCTCAACAAGTGCGAGCCGCCAAAAGTTAATAAGAGAAAGCGCAATCAATTAGTGTTAGTTTATATTATTCTCTCTTTTGATTGTTTTCAGATCACTTCTCATGTTTATCTCACGTGATTTGGCGTGTAAATTCGATTAAAATGCGCCAAAAATCAAAGAAAATATTTTTTTTGCAAAAACGAGGTTTCGAAATGTTTCGAAGCGTTTCTAAAGGACGGGCGTGGTAAAAAGGGTAGGGGTAGGGGTAAAAGTAAAGGTAAGGTTAAGGGTAAGCGCAGGGGGATGCCAAACTAGAAGGAGAGGGAAATAAAGTCAGGGAAGAGCTAAGGTAAGGGTAGGAATAGGAGTAGGGGTAGGGGTAGGGGGATGCCGAACTAGAAAACCATGCCCTACCCTGTACTATCCTACCCTACAATAATCTACCACATCTTGCCCTAATTTTATTTTACACTACCCCCTTGGTTTAAGTAAATCATGATTGTACCCCCACCCTACCCCGCCCTTAAAATCAATTTTTTCATGTTATACTCAACCATACACCTTTAAAGACTCAATAACACTTTTATTGGCCCATTTTTCCTTTTTCAAAAAACCCTCAAAGACATTTAGAAGCCATGTAAAAAACAATACAGTTAGAGATTACTAATCTCGACAAGACTCTTGACAGTCTTCGGCCAAAAACACATAAAACATGTCGTCCGGATGTTAAATATGGCTCATGTGACTTGTGTTCAAAAGATAAATATCTGTTCCCTACACAACCGTACGCTACCCTATCCTACCCTATCTTATCCTACCTTATCTTACCCTACCCTACCCTACCCTACCCTACCCTACCCCCTACCCTAACTACATGTGCCGATTTTTTCGACCCCCGCCCCCAGACCAAAAGTTCCCAGCCCTGCCCTTAATAACAAAAAATCTACCGCCCGGCCCTGCCCCTGCTAGCAAAAATCTAACCCTATGAAGCAAAATTTAGCCCTAATAACCAAAATCTACCGCTTCTAACAAAATTCCGCCCTCAAAAAAATCTACCCTTATAAATCAAATCTACTCCTATTAATAACTAAAATGTCTCTTCTATCCACAAATAATTTAAAAAATCCACGCCTATTGACCAAAAACTACCCCCACTAACAAAATCCATCCATCTCTTTAAAAAAATTTTTCTGTAAAAAAAGTTCTTGCTTTTTCTAATTTAAAAAAGATTTTTTTGTAAAGAACGTTCTTGCGTTTTTTAAATTTCAAAAAAAAATTTCTGTAAAGAAAGTTCTTGCGTTTTTGAAATTTAAAAAAATCACTATAAACTGTTCTGTAAAGAAAATCCTTGCCTTTTTCTAAAACCCCAAAAGAATTTTGATAAATATTTATCCTGCCCTGCCCATAAAAAGTCGTAAACAAAATTTTTGCCTTTTCCCAAAATTTCGAAAAATTTAAAAATTCCAAAAAAGCAAAGGACAGAAACGCACGTGCAACCACTTCCGGCTCATGTTTTTGTTCCAAAGCAAACCTTGGCTTGTCTATCACACTTTTTGATTTACAGACAACGTTTTCCACCCAATCTCGGCCCAAAATTAATTGGATTTGGTCGAAAAAAGTTTGAAAATAAACAGTTTTAAATTTAAAAGTGCTTGGAGCAAGGTCTGTCTGGGAAATATAAAAAAAGAGGGCATGGAGGTTAAAAAGCTGAGCTTTAGTTGCAAATCCTATATAACAAAAGCCAAACTCGTCCAGGTTAAGGCTTCTAGGCTTACACTTATAGGTTTAGGCTTCTAGGATTACGCTTTTAAACTTAAGATTTAAGCTTAAGATTTTAGGCTCAGGCTTCTAGGCTTG